AAAAAAAAAAAAAAAAAAAAAAAAAAAAGGGGGTGGGGAAGAGTTTCAGGAAGGGAAGAAATCCACTGGGCTAGAAATGAGGAAATCTAGATTCTGGTCTACTATGTTCCTCCACCGTTTGTCTAGCTGGATGATCATGGACAAGCCATGTCATTTCAAGCCTCATTTACTCAATAAGACCATAGGACTAAAGCATATCTGAGGTCTCTTAACCAGTTTTAAAATCATATTACAACAACAGAAGGAAGCATCAATTTAACTATGGAGACCAAATGGCAAATAATATATTTACGCACGCAATTAGTTTTTCAAAAATCTAATGATACATAGAAAAAGCAGTATAGTGTGGGAGAAATAACACTGAAATAACAGTGAGAAGTCAAGGATTCAAGTCTTGAATATCTCCATTGATAAGTTAGTCTCTGAACCTCAGGTCTCTATAAAAAATGATGATAATAATTTCTGCCCAATTCAAGAGATTATATATAGATCAAATGAATGTATAATAAAGGGCTTAAATATAAAAGTGTATAAATGAAGATATTACTAATAACAAAGATCATACTAAAAGATCACCAATACCTGGAAAATTCAAAGTTACAGATGGTTAATACACATAACTTCCTAGAACACTGTTTGAATTTAAGAGATAGAAATATTTTAATTATAAAAATTTGCATCTGAGGTTTATATTATCTCAAGTATTAATTAACAAAACACTGATTAGAGGCCAACTATGTGCAGGCAAGTTACTGAATATTGGAAACTGATGTGGTCCTTGAGAAACTTGGAAGGAGACAAAGGTGTATGTGTGTGGAGGGAATAAGCACATAAATAAACACAATTCAAAGAGTGATATAATACAAAGGTGCTATGTAAACAAAGGAAGGAGCCAATAACACAAACTCATCCTAGGGCGTCAAAAGCAAAGAAACCTGAGCTATAAGTTGTAAAATTTCACTAGAGGCATGGATACAAAGAAAAATAGCTAGCAACAGCCTCTCTGTACTCTCTCCCTAGATGACAGCACTTATCCCCATGGTTTAAATAAATCTCTTCGTTGATGGTTCCTAGACTTACCCCTTCAGCCTTGACTTGCTTAAGTAACTCAAAACTAACTAATGGAATGCTTGACTTTTCTCCTCAAACCTGGTCCTCCCCAGGTCTTTGGCTCACCCTCCAAGATATATCTCACTTTTTCTCATTTTGGTCTAGTTCCTGCTATTACCCGGGCCCATCATATCATGTCACTTCCAAGATAAGACACTGATATCCCTACTTCTGTTTTTGACCCCTCCAACCCATTTCCCACATAGCACAGAGTTATCTTATAAACCTAAACCTGATCCTGTCATTCCCTGCTTAAAACCAATTAATGGCTTCATATACACTCAGAATAAAATCCAACCTCCTTCACCAGGCCTACTGAAGCCCCGCAGGATTTGGACCCTGTGGACCTCTCTCTCCATCATGCCCAAACATACAGCCCTGTGTCAGTTCCTAGAACACGCCAATCTCTTTCAACACACAAGTCCTGTGTTTACAAAGCATAAAATTATGAGTCCTGGTGTGGGCTGGAGCTATAGGTTATATTATATAACACCACTCTAGCAATCCATAGTAATCTCTAAGAAATAACTTTTTTTTTTTGGCTGCTCTTCGCGGCATGTGGAACTTCCCGACCAAAGATTGAACCCGTGCCCCCTGCAGTGGAAGCAGGGAGTCTTAACCACTGGACCACCGGGCAAGTCCGAAATACCAGTTTTTCGACATTGGTTTTAGTTATTTTCCTTAAGAGCAAATATTTTTATCTTATTATTTGAAGGGAACTATCAAACTAATCTTCTTTGAAAGGAAATGTAACAAATTTCACTTATATTTCAGAGAAATATAATGCTTACTAAGATTTTTCACTTATGCCTGATAACTAATTACCAATTTATTTCATCTAACAAAAGTATCGGGACTTCCCAGGTGGTCAGCTGGTTAAGACTCTGCGCTTCCACTGCAGGGGGCACAGGTTCGATCCTTGGTCGGGGAACTAGGATCCCACATGCTGTGCAGTGTGGGCAAAAAAAAAAAAAGTTTATTATATAACAACTTAGGATGGGGAATGAGAATTTTGTATCATATTGTCTCTATGTGATCTATATAGATTAAAAAAATTTTAATACTAAATACTGATTACCTGGGAGTAAGATAGCAAATACAAATGTTACTATTAATTTAAGTCATCTTCAAAACTATGATAGCTTTGGTTGATACTGATCAACAAGGCATCTAACAAAAGACGTTAAAATAAAGATGTTTTATTAAATAATGTGGTGTTTCACACAAAAAAGTAGCTTTTGCAAGAGTGCTTTTATATTCTCAGCATGGGTACTAAACCTAAGACAAAATACAAAGAAGCTACAGATTTCATTATTCTGTTCACTCAAATGAAAATGTCAAAAGATTTATGCTGTTAATCATAATTCTTATTAGCAGATTTTAATTATCACTCTGAACAAAACATTATGAAGAACAATCTGTGAAGATATAAACTTAAGAGAACGGAGATGTTCAGTAACTTCTATATAAAATCATTTTGCCAAATACCACTATCTCTTCAGTTTAAAACACTGTCCTAATTAAACCATACAGGGAAAAAGCTCATATGCAAATATATAGCCCATCTGATTCTAAGAGTCATCAAAATAACTTCCTGTTTGGGAGTTCTAAGCTGTGAATGCACAGTGTAAAATTACAATATTAGTCATAAATAAAACTTTGAGTACTCTGAAGAAATTTTAATATTTGGCACATAGAAATTCCATTTATGTTTCTCAACTCTTAACAAAAATAAAATGTTTTTTAAAAATTGACATTTATTCCTTATTGTATTTTAAAGGGGAGAGGTATTTTAAAACTAAGTCTTGAGTACCTATTACCCTTAGGCACTAGGTCACCTACTTTATTTTATATTTTATCTCATTTAATCCTCATAAGACCTGGTGTGGTACATCATAATGCCTATGTTACAGATAATACACAAAGTTCAAAGACCCTGAGATTTTATACAGACTTGAAAATGTTTCTATCATAGTCAAGTTCAAAAATTATTTGGCATGTGTTTGTTCTTTGCCTCTATACTTAAAAGCTATTGGCATACTGGGCCTAACTGTTCAAAACGGGACATGAGTTGAAAGAGCGGTCCTAAGAATGAGTGTTTTTTATATACAGAAATAAATTACTAAAAAAGAGATAAGACTGCTTAAATGAACACTGATTTACCTTGAACATGAGAAATGATGAACAGATAGGCTCCCAATAATCTGATGTAAATATACAGCTGAGTCATTGTTCAATTTTAACGTTCTCTACACTGTCACCTTTAATAACTAGTCTTGTTATGTCACTAATTTAAAAGACTTTCATTCAATGAGATTTTCTTGTAAAAGGTCTCAATCACTTGACAATGACACCAACTTCCACTGCTTTCTCTTGATTCCTGAAAGATAAAAATATTAAGAAGGAAATGAATATAACTGAATTCTGGAAAGTTTTCAAAAACTAGGAGAGGAAAAACAAATGCCCAAACATACCTTTAAACAATGTAATACATTATTAAAGATTAATGTTATCATTGTTTAAAAAAAAAAAAAGCCACTGTAATTTAAAAGCTTAAATAATTTATTAATAGGTTGCCACCTCTCCTGACCTTAGATTAGCCATATGTAAAATAAGAACACTAATAATCTTAACAGTCTTTTCTGGCTGCCCTAAAGTAATTATTTTATTGCTATTAAGAAAATTTCTAAATATATTAAGAATAAAACAGGAAGAGCTGAATTTAGAACACTAAGCTAGGACTTCCCTGGTGGCGCAGTGGTTAAGCATCTGCCTGCCAATGTAGGGGACACGGGTTCGAGCCCTTGTCCGGGAAGATGCCACATGCCGCAGAGCAACTAAGCCCGTGCGCCACAACTACTGAGCCTGCACTCTAGAGCCCGCGAGCCACAACTACTGAGCCCGCGTGCCACAACTACTGAAGCCCACGTGCCTAGAGCCTGTGCTCAACAAGAGAAGCAAGCACAATGAGAAGCCCCCACACCACAATGAAGAGTAGCCCCTGCTCGCTGCAACTAGAGAAAGCCTGAGTGCAGCAACAAAGACCCCAAAAAAACCAGCCAAAAATAATAAGTAAATTAATTAATTAAAAAATAAAACAGTAAGCTACTCATCAAAAAATTTTCAATCCTAGTAGATGTGATAAATAAAAACACCTTGAATCTTTCTAATAAATAATGTATTCTATAGATAGAAGGCCTACCTAGAAAAACATTTAAATATGCAGCATGCTTCCTCATTAAAGCAAAAACATTAGAAATGTATCTTAAATGAAATTATTTACCTAAAATACTACAAATCTGAATTCATTAGGATAAAACTGAGCTTTTCATATGGATCACATGAAACATAACCTCCCCAATTAAGGTTTGGCAATTATAAGATAGTTAAAGAGGTAACAGAAAAAAAGGTTAGTTTGTGTAAAGATGAATATGATTCTGTTTCTTCTCTCATCCTGTTGGTTCAGGCAACTGATTTTACTGACTTCAGCCTGAATTATTCCTCAATGAAAATGATATTATTTATTTGTAACACAATTATCCTGGCATGATTTCTACCACAAATATCCCAAGCTTTCTATGTTAACTAAGAATTTTTCACTTGAATTAGCTCTCCAAAGGCACTTAGAGTATTGAGGAAATAAGGTTTACAGTGAGATGTCATTTATATTGTACATTTTATATATGGCTTATTCTAAAATCTCTAATTTCTCTACTATGAAATTAATTTGATTTCCATCTACATAATGTTGAGAGAGTAAGATGTAAAGTCTAAAATTATCACAGAATAACATCTGTAATATGATTTAACAGTATTTGAGAAAACTCACTTCTTGAAATTATGGGATTGTGACTCTAGGGATACTTGTTCCAGGTTTCAAATTCAAAAGAAGTTTCCAGTATATTTCCAACACTGAACTCTCTCCTTATTTCTATTTGCCTATTAATATCTCCACTAGGATTACATCCCACCTGTCCAAATCAAAGTCACTACCTTTCCTTCTCATTCCTCTAGACCTGCCTCCTCCTCCTCCATTTTTTTTTTTTTTTTTTCCCCCCGCAATACGCGGGCCTCTCACTGTTGTGGCCTCTCCCGTTGCGGAGCACAGGCTCCGGACGCGCAGGCTCAGCGGCCATGGCTCACGGGCCTAGCCGCTCCGCGGCATGTGGGATCTTCCCGGATTGGGGCACGAACCTGTGTCCCCTGCATCGGCAGGCGGAATCTCAACCACTGCGCCACCAGGGAAGCCCCTCCTCCTCCATTTGCTATCACAGAGGAGGGTGGTGCCATCTCTCCAGTCACCCATGCCAAAAACCTTGGCATCATTTCTGCCTCTCTTCCTAGCTCTCACTCTCTCTCCATACCTTCATTCATTTATTCATTCACTCACTTATTCACCAACAGTGTTTTCTGAGTATGTATTATACATCAATGCAAGGGGCTAGAAATAAAAATATGAGTATGACAGATTCCACTTCAAGGGCCTCATATTCTTGGTCAGGAAACTGACTGCTATGACTGGTTCCATCTTTCAGTGTCACTGCTTCTTCATCAGTTTATTTAAGCTAATATGTGGTCTTGTCTCATTACAAGTACAACCAAGGCATCCTGCAGTACAGTCGATGAGACCCTAAGCACCTGCCACACTCACAGTCCCTTTCAGAGGAAAGGGATCATGTGTGATTCCTTCTACACAAGCATCTGTGACTCTACCACTCTCAGCACAAGTTTAAATACTGGATCTGCCTTAACTAAGTAACTTCACCTCTCTGAATGAGTTTCCTCATCTGTAAAACTGGAATTATATTAACTCACAATTATTTTGAGAACTACATGAGGTAATAGCTAGCATATGTTCACCTCTATGTGGCAGACCATTACAATGCTTTGAATATATTAATTTACAGAATCATCACAACCACCTTGTAAGATAGGCACAATTTATTATTTTAATTTTACAGATGAGGAAACTAAGGCAAGTGGAGTTTAAGGAATTTATCAAAGATCACACAGCTGGTAAGTGTCAGGGCTATAATTCTAATCAAGAAGATGTGATTCTCAAGCCTATGTGTTAACTGCTATCCTAGGCTGCCTTGCTGGATATTTTACATACATTACATAATGTAAACTATACATTATAAAGTATTTAGAAAAGCCTGGTACAGAGTAGGTACTTAATAAAAGTTTCCTCCTCTCAGACATGTTTATAACATATTTGCCAACCTGGCACAGGAAGTAACAGGTGCTATACACGACAATCCCATCTGCAAGACATTTTTATACACTAAAAACCCTGCAACAACTTGTATGGAGAACAGCTATCAGCCAAGAGAAGGCTAAAGGTAAAATGGCTTCAAGTGCCTCATTTGTAATCTAACAATGGAAGCCCCTAATCTTTAAAAGAAAAATGTTAGGTTTTAGCTGACTACAAGCTCAATAAGCATCAGTGCTTATGACAATTCTAAGACATGAAGGCAATCTAATCAAGCATTGATAGAAGCACACTGCCATAATCAAAGAGGGTAACCATCTTACTTTATCCCACCTGGTCAGGCCTCAAATACTTTAGAGAAGAATGACAAGAATGCAAAGGACAGAGAAATGACTACACTTGAGATACAACTGAAAGGACCAGGGATCTTTGCTCACAGAGTATCAAAGGAATAAAGTGTGAATGTACCTCTGTCAAGGACATGACAGGCATGATGCAAACAAGACTAGACCAATTAAATGACTTCAGATTCCTTCCAGCTCTGAATTCCTGAGTGAATAGTGTTCTCGCTATTGAATGTTAATTTATTTCCCAAATATTTATTAAGTGCCTATTATATACATGATTCTGTATGAGACACTGAGAATATACTGAGAGAGAGCAAAACAGACTGAGCCTTTATGGAGTTCACAGTCATATAAGATAATTAAGATATTTAGACATCAAACAAGACAATACAAATGATACGTGATCACAACTTGAGGTGAGTGCAAAAAAGAAAAGTGCCAGGTCCTCCAGGGACATGGGGAGTGACCTAATCTAATCCAGATAGAGAGGTCAAGGGAAGCAATGTAGGAAAGTGACATTTAAGGTGCAATCTGAAGAATAAAAGAGTTATTTAGTCAGGTAAAGAAACGAGGTTGGGGAGGGGGCTTGTTCTAGGCATAAGGAGCAGCCTGCACAAAGATCTTGAGGCAGAGAAGAGCAAAGGAGAACACAATGTTTCTGAAATGTTGAGAACAAGGGTTAATGTAGTGGAAGATGAGGTTGAAGAGACAGAAAAGTCAAGGACCAGGTCAGGCAAGATCATATGAAGGATTTGGGATTTAAATGTAAGTGGGATAGGAAGGCAATTATCTGGTTTCTCTGTAATGAACTGGAGGGGACAAAAGCAGAAGGAAATAGACCATTAAGAAGGATATTGTAGCAGTTTAGGAGAGGGACAATAGTGGTTAAGCTTAGGGTGGTGGTGGTACAGTGGATGGAGTCAAGATATATTTCACAAACAGATTCAGTAGGCCTTGGTAATGGATTAAATGTGGGGGTAAGGGAGAGTGAGGGGTCAAAAAAGATCCCTACATTTCCGGCATGAGCAATTACTGAAAATGGGGACAAATGGATTTTGAAGAAAGTGGGGAGAAGAGATCAATGGTTCAATTTTTAGACATTTGAAATTACTCAAAGGGAATGTCTAATGGGCATTTGGTTCTGAAACTTAAAGGAAACTTTTGAGACTGAAGATATAAATCTGTTATGTCAGCAGCACAGAGATATTTAAAGCTACGGTTCTATATGAGATGGCCTTCTAGAATGAAAAGAGAAGAAGGCACCAGAACACCAATGTTCATTTAAAAATCAGATTAATAAAAGCATTAACATCATATATATTTACTTGGCATTCACTGATAAAAATAAGTTCATGGTCCAGGATCCATCATGTACAATATTAATATAGCATATATTACCACAGCTGGAATATAAACTAATATTCATAAGTGATATTTTTCACAGTTAAAAAAACCCCACCAATCTACCAAAAGATCATTATGGTGATCTAAAATATGTCCACAAATGCTCTGACACTATCTTCAAAAGGTGAAGCCTAATTTCCTCCCTTGAATTCCCACTGGACTTAACGACTCACTTCTAACAAAATAAGATAAGGTGGAAACAACAGTTTGTCTTCTGAAACTAGATCATAAAAGGCACTTCAGATTCCTCCTTGCTCACTCTTAGGGAAGCTAGCTGCCATGTCAATAAGGACACCCACACAGCCTTATGGAGAGACCCATGTGGCAAAGAACTGAGGCCTCCTGCCAACAGCCATGTGAGTGAGCCACCTTGGCCGTGGATCCATTGGTGCCAGGGAAGCTTTCCAGTAACCGTAG